GAGCGCCTGCCTGGCGGCGGCGCTGCAAGCCGTGGAGGAGAAGATCCGGCTGGAGGACGCGCAAGGCGCACGGTAGGTGCCTGGCGGCGCGCACCCGGCCTGAGGCGCGGACGGTGGGGCGGGCTGCGGGCGGGCCCTGCAGGCCAGCAGGTGCACCCAAGGGGCGACGGGGTCCCCGCGCGCCCCCTCACGCCAGGCCGCCCGCAGCCCTGCGGCCGCAGAGGAGAAGAGCACTGGCAGCATCTTAGACGACATCGGCAGCATGTTCGACGACCTGGCCGACCAGCTGGATGCCATGCTGGAGTGACGGCCTCACACACTGACCTTTACCTCAGGACGGGCACCTCTGGGCGCGGCGACCCGGGAGCCCGCCAGGCGGCCGCGAGGCAGGGTGTGCTCAGCCCCTGCACAAGCACAAGCCGGCCCTGGGCACAGCCGGCCCGCCTGGGGCACCCGAGGGCTCTGGGCAGACGCCGCTGCCCCGACGCCCGCCCCTGGCTGATGCCCTGCTGCAATAACTGCTGGACGCCGCGTGCGCCCGCCAGGCTCGGCCTGCCGCGGGGGCGGGTCCAGTCTGCGCCTGCGCGGCTGCAGGTGCGGCCCTCCCCCATCTGTGGCAGAGCACAGGCCTATGCCCAGCACAGAACTGCCCACTGGGGACCTCTGCCAGCCACCGGCGCGCACAAGGGGCTGGGCTGGGGCTCCGTCCCACTGCACCCCCAGAATATAAGCTATGGAAAGTATTAATTTATTGGGAATGAGCTGAAGCAGATTTCCCCAGAGAAACAAAAAGGTATAACTTTAACAAATATATATTTAAAAGAAGAAAAATATTATCGAGTCTATAAAATACCATTTACCAACTGCAAGGACACTGACGTCTAGCTCGAGACAAAGCCGTCCACGGTCCAGGCCACCTGCCTGCGCGGCCTCCCTTCCTCCCTCCCTCGAGTCCAGGAGCGGCCGGCGGCCAGCAGCAGTCGGCAGGCCGTCCGGCGGGGGTGGCCTCCCGGGCCTCGCATGGCCCCAGCTTCTCTCGCTGGATGACGGCAAGGCTGTGCTCGCTGACGGGCCGTGTCCTCGGCCGGGCCGCGGGGTGTGGCGTGGCGGCCAGGCCTTGCGCTCCTGCTGGCCGCTGGGGGAGGGCACTGTGCGCACCGCCCCACACTGACCGGCCCCTTGCTTTTGCAGACCTAGCGTGTTGGGCACAACTCTGACATTTCTTACAAAATTCAAAAAGAAAACCAGCGACAATGATTTGAAGGGAGAGGGGCTGGCCGAGGGGGCCCGGGCACGTGGCCGGCAGCCGCCACAGTGAAGCCCCGGAGCCAGGCAGCTGCCGCTCAGTGGGGTGGCTGGGTCCGCAGGCCGGGGTTTGGGGGGAGCCAGTCGGCTGTCAATAAACAGCAGAAAATAGAGCTGCCTGGCCCGCTTCTTTGGGGAGTGTTGAGAGGGGGGCGAGGGGGGAGTGTGCAGGCGCCGTGTCCTGCCCGGTCTGCGCGCCCAAGGCCGCCTGTACCCCCAGAACCGGCCCCACTCACAGCCGGTCTGTGCAGCTTTTATCTTACCGGAGTGATCAAATTTATCTCCACTCTAAAAACAGTAGAAAAAGTTAGTAAAAAGGGCCCGGCCCCTGGGGCACACGTGGGCCGGTGACTGTCGTACCTGGCCCTGGGGCTGTCCCGGCACAGCAGTGACAGGGCAGTGACGGGGACGGGAGGCGGGGACCTCCCGGCCAGCAGACGCTGCCATCAGCCCCAGTGGGCTGCTGAGGCCCGAGACCACCTGGGTGGTCAGCCCGGCCGGCAGGGCCCACGGGGGCACCGAGGACGCCGAGACCCGCCTGGCGCCGGTCAGCAAGTCCAGACCTGCGAAGGGAGGGCTGTTCAGGCGGCCGCCGCCACTGGCCCGCGCCCGCCCCCCCGCGGCCCGGCCGGGCACCTTCACAGTGCTGTCCACAGCACCCGAGAAGAGGCGGCCCCGCGCCACGGCCAGCGCCGTCACGCTGCCCTGGTGCCGCAGCAGGGTCTGCGTGCAGATCATGTTGTCCATGCTCCAGACCTGCGGGCGCACGGGAGGTGAGGGCCTGCCCCCCACGGACCCCCCCCACGGCCCCGCCCCACCGCCCGGGGCGCACCCTGAGGGACCGGTCATAGGACGCGCTGAAGACTTTGGTCTGGTCCGGCGTGGAGATGACCGCCAGGGCGTACACGGTGCCCACGTGGCCCGTCAGGGTCCGCACCTGCTCCTTGGTCTCAATGTCCCACACCTGGGGGCACAACAGGTCAGAGGATGCCAGGCAGGTCTGGGGCAGGCCCGCCCGGCACCCCCGCGTACGTGGATGAGGTTCTCGTAGGTGCCACAGACGATGTGGTGGCTGGTCACGGCGATGGAGTAGACGCTGCCGCCGGACGTCTGCAGCACGTGCACACAGTCCAAGGTCCGGATGTCCCAGATCTGCGGGCGGGCACCACCCCCCGGTTGCAGCCCGCACCTCGCCAGGGCCTCTGGCTATGAGCAGCCCTCCCCTGGCGCGGTGGGCCCCGCCCCACCAGCCCGGGCCCCGCCCCCGGCCCCACACCACCAGCCCAGGCCCTGCCCCCACCAGCCACCTTGATTGTCTGGTAGGAGCCGCTGTACAGGTAGCTCTGGGCGGCCACCAGGGCCCGCACCCAGTGGTTGAGGCCTGTGAGCTCCTTCTTCAGCTTCAGCTCGGTGCCCACAATGTCCCAGACCTGGGGGCAGCAGCACGTGTGGGCCGGAGGGCGGGCGGGCGGGCGCCACCCCGGCCCTGAGCCCCGCCGGACCTTAATGGCCTTCAGGGAGCCGCTGAAGAGCATGTTGTGCGAGGAGACCAGCGTGCACACCGGGTTGTCATGGGCCCGGATGGTGTTCACCTTCTGCAGGTTCTGGACGTCCCACACCTGCGGAGGGCGGGGCTCTCAGGTGCGGCCCGGCAGGGCCCAGGCGCCCCCGCGGCCCCGCACACTCACGATGATGGTGCAGTCCGCCGAGCCGCTGTACAGCTTGCACCTGGGGGCAGATCAGGCCGTCAGCGAGGCCCACTGTCCTCGTGGACCCGCCCTGGCCGGCCGGGGCCGCCTGCCCGACAGGAACCCCTCAGGCCGGCAGTCAGACCTCCGCTTCCGCAGCGACTGTCACTCGCCATAAAGGACACTGGCTGGAAGGTCCCGTGAGGGGCCCCCTGGAGGTGAGGGGTGGCCAGCTGGCCACTCGGGCCCTGTCCTCAAGCTGTGCCCAGGTTTAGAGGCCGCGCAGGCCCGCCTCGGCCTGAGTGCCCACGCGGCGTGGCCCTGCTCACCCCTGGATGCACAGCGCCAGCACGATGCCGTCGTGGCCCTCCAGCGTCTTCTGGCACTTGTAGGTGGTGCACGTGTCCCACACCTGCAGAGAGTGGGCGGGTCAGCGGGGCCTAGGGCAGTGGCCAGCAGCGCCAGGGCCCCTCGGCCATCCGCACCTTGATGGTCTTGTCGGAGGAGCCACTGAAGAGCAGGTCCCCCATGGAGTAGACGCAGAGACACCAGACGGGGCCCTGGTGGCCCACGAAGGTCCCTTTGCATTTGAAGATCTGCTGGGGGTCATAGGCTGCAGGGAGACGGGGGGCCAGTGAGGGGCTGTGGGCGCCCAGGCCTGGCGGTGGGGGCAGCGGGCTGGTACTCACACCCCAGGATGCCCGTGTTCAGCCGTGCGTTGATGTGGGACAGCTCGTCCTGCGGGGCCAAGGGAGAGCAGGGTGTGGCGGTGCGTGGGGGCTCCCTGGCACCCCCAGGGGCACTGGCCAGGCCGGCCATGCACCCAGCAGCCTCCCCGCCGGCCAGGCTGAGCCCGTGCTCACGTTCAGCATGGATGCGTCCCTCCGGAACTCCATGAGGTCCTCGCTGAGCTTGCTCTGGTTCTCGTCCAGGACGTCTGGCGGCGCGGAGCAGGTCAGGGCGGGCGAGCCG